CAATCTGTCAGCTTCTCCTCCTCCTCCTCTCCCTCCTCCTCCTCCTCCTCCTCCTCCTCCCTCCTCCCCCCCCTCCCTCCTCCTCCTCCTCCTCCTCTCCCTCCCCTGCCCCTCCTCCTCCTTCCCTCTTCCTGCTTCTCCTGCTCCCTTTCCCTCCCCTACCTCGTGAAGTCTCTTGGCAATGAAGTGGACGTCATCAGTAAACCCAAGGTGATATCCTCCCTGACAGGTCGTGAGAAACAGCAAGGATGCAGGAGACAGACAGCAGGAAGATGAAGGGTAGGACGGGGGAGGAGGAGGAGTACGGGAAGGAGGGGTGCAGAAAGGGGAAAGCACACACAGGAGTCAAGTTGTCCTCCCCACTGCATCCTCTGAACCCAATGGCAGCGACATCGAATCCTGCCATGGAGAGCGAGCGAGCTTGACGGACGGTCAGGGGAGCCAGGGAGTTCGACTCAAGGCCATGGTAGAGGAGGACGATTCCTCGGGACGCCGGCAGCTCCGACCGGAGAAAGTCGATGTCGACGAAGTCTCCGTCGGGCGTTGTCCACCGCTCGCGCTCGTAGGAGGGAGTAGGAGGAGTCGCAAACAGGGCGCCGACTATCGTGTTGACGTGCGCCTGGCGAGCCCACCAGGGGGGCCGGTAGGTGCGAGCAGGAAAGGAGCTGAGCACTTGTACCATGTCGGTGGCAGGAGAGGAAGGGATGAGGGTTGAGGGAGAAGGGGAAGACGAGGCCACCATGGCAGACAGCGAGGAAGGAGGCGGACGACGCCGAGGGCTCGCGACAGTGAAGAGAGCGCGAGTGCGAGCTGTCAGGGGGGAGGAGGCGGACTTCGAGAAAGAGATCGGGAGCTTCGACCCAAGGAGTCGAGAGGAGGAGGAAGCGAAGAGGAGAGGAGGACAGGAGGAGCAGGAGGACAGGAGGAGGAGGGAGGACGGGAGGAGCAGCAGCAGTGGCGAGGCGACCATCCCGTCGTGGACGTACAAAGCAGGAGAAAGGGGGAGGGGGCGCTCAGTACGGGTCATAATCCGGTAGAATAGAGGGGTACTTGTCATGCTAGGGTACTTTGGGACACGGGTGGTTTTGTCTAGACAGGGTGGGGTAGTCCTAAAGCTTTTAAACCCTCCCACCACCCACGTTTCCCCGCTAAATATGACCCCTGTGAAGACAACCCCCAAGAATCTCTGTTTCTTGGAGGCAGAGAGGGGGTGGGGTAGTCCTTTAGGCTTGTCAAAATGATGATGGCTGGGCTGGAAAGCAGAAGGCTAAGACGGGAGGAGGAGGAGGAGGAGGAGGAGAAGTAGAGGAGGAGGAGGAGAAGTAGAGGAGGAGGAGGGGCCGGAGAGGAGGAGGAGGAGGAGGAGCCGGAGAGGCAGAGGAGGAGGAGCCCAGGTGGCACTAGTCAGAGATGCAAAGGCTTGCATTGAGCGGCTCTCAATTGAATTGCAAGCTGATCGCTCTCTGATAAGAACATCCTGAGGAATATCACAAAGACAATCGCAAGGTGGCAACGAGAAATTGGTAGGCAACCAACACTAACACTGAATCGTCAACTAGCTCAGAACAACTTGGGTAGAACAAGAGCGCAAGCAGCGCTCATCAAGGACAAGATCATATTGGCCGCAGGAAAGCAAGGAAGAAGTTCAACCTCTCAAGGGAGGAGGCGGAGGGAGGCTGAGGAGGAGGAGGAGGGCTAAGGAAGGGGAGGAGGATAACGCAGCAAGATGAAGGGCAAACAGCGTCGTTCGGCTCGTGACTTCAACCCGATGCATTCGGTGCAGCTGCCAACTCCCTCGCCGATGCATTCTGCCTCTCTTCCTCTGTCCTCCTCCTCGTCGCTGCTGCCCACCAGGCAGAGGTTCGAGGACGCGACCTCCGCCTTCGACAAGGTCAAGGCCAAGAGGATCGCAGCTCCCCTGGCAGCTCCGCGGCTGCTGGAGGTGGGAGACGAGAGGTCGCTGAGAAGGACGTTGAAGGGAGGGAACGTCGAGCAGCTGCTGGAGCTCTTCAGACAGGACGAGGAGGCGGCGAGGAGGATGCTGGTGGGCGAGCAGCTGCCTCTGCACGTGGTGGTGGAGTTCCACGGGGGGACTCGGGGAGAGGAGATAATCAGCCACGTGCTGAAGGCGAACTGGGAGGCAGCTGGGCACAAGGACGCGTTGGGGCGCCTTCCTCTCCATCTCTTGTGCCGCTCTCAGAGCCCCTCCGTCAGCTCCCTCCGCCTCCTCCTGCGAGCGAACCAGGAGGGAGTGAGGGAGGAGGACGAGGACGGTATGAACCCTCTCCATCACCTTATGCTCTGCTCCGGCGATCAGCAGTGTGCTCAGGTTCTGCTGGAGGCGTACCCAGAAGCTGCGAGGGTCAGGGCGACAGGGGAGCTCCACAGGGGAGCGCTCCCTCTCCACCTCCTCTGCCGCTACCATGGCGACTGCAGCGACACCGTCATCCTCCTCCTCCGATCTTTCCCCGACGCCTGCTCCTCGCCCTGCCTGTCCATCTCCGGCTTCCTCCCCGTCCATATCCTGTCGCAGTTCCAGGGAGATGCGCGCGAGTCCATGGCGGCGGTGGTGGACGCGTACGAGCAGGGGCTGCTCTCTCGCAGCAGGAACGGAAAGCTCCCGCTGCACCTCCTCGCTGAGTTCTTCCCGGGAGCAGAAGCAACGATGGACCTCCTGTGCTCGAAGTGCCGCAAGGCCTGCTTGTCCCCGACAACGGCGGGAGGACGCCCTTGCATCTGCTCGCGTCTCACTACCGGGCTGAGGACTGGGCCAAGGTCGCTGGGTCCCTGCGGTCGCTGCTGGTGTGGGGGGAGAGTGCCCTGCTGCTGCAGGACGAGGACGGAAACACTCCTGCCCACCTCGCCGCTCAGTTCTGCCCGCAGCCTGACCTGCTCCTTGCCGACATGATGCAGCGAGGCGCTCGGGCGGCTGGGATGCTCAACGAGGACGGTCGGAGCCTCCTGCACTGCCTGATGCTGAACCCGGAAGCTCCGATGTCCTCCTTCTTCCACCTTCTCAGCCTCTCCGAGAAAGCTCTGCTCCTCCCCGACGCTGACGGCAACCTCCCCCTCCACCTCCTTTGCGAGCACAACGGGGACAACGAGGAGCTGCTCAAGGCTGTGCTGGCAGCGGGCAAGGAGGAGGCGAGCGTGCCGAACAAGGAGGGCAAGCTTCCTCTCCACCTACTCGCCTCCTCCTATGGCACCGACGAGTATCTGCCGAGCTTGACAGCCCTCCTGTCCTCCTGCCCGGAAGCTGCTGAGGTTCCGGACACGCGGGGGAAGCTGCCGGCAGACCTGCTCGCTCCTCCTCGCTTCGACTTGCGCAACGAGGAGTTCAGGAGGCTACTGGAGGAGGCGGTAGCGGTGAAGATCCGGGTGAAGGAGGAGGAGGAGGCGAATCTTTCGCGCTTCTCCTTCTCCTTCATGGCCGAGCATGAGCGAGGAGTTCGGAGCGCGTCCATGGCTGACCCGGAGCTGCTGAGGCAGGCGAGGCGCTGCAATGAAGGTGACAAAAATTCTGATGAGGAGGTGAGACATGCTGCTGCTACTTCTAGCTCCTCCTCCTCTCCTTCACCTCCTTCCTCCCCTTCCTCCCCTTCCTCCCCTTCCTCTCCTTCCTTTCTCCCTCCTCCTTGGATCTAAACTCATGCTCCTGCTCCCAGAGAGAGGAGGACGTGCTTCGAACCTTGAGGAGGAGCAAGCCGCTGCGAGGGGCCAGGGAGGCTTCTCGTCGCGCCGTGGATGCGCAGCCACGAGGCCGACCGGAGCAAAGCAGGAGGGAGGAAGAGAACACAAGGACAGTAGTTCG